CCCCCTAGAGGCTCGCGCCTCTGGCGCTAAAAAATACCTCCCAAAACATAAAAGAACCCCCCTCAACAGAATCCACCCTACGGGCCTGGTATTGTAATTATTTTAGTTAAAGCCTTCTTCTATTCCTGTAAATTCTTCACATCTTTTTTTTTTTTGCTGACCTTAGGCCATTTAAGCCCCCGGCTTTGGCTGTTCTTGTGTATTTTTTCTTCCAGTGTGTGATATGTATTAATAAAGTTGTATAGTTGTGTACAGACGTCCCCCTCTCCTCAGAAAAAATCGAGGAGAGAGATTGTCTCCCCCCTTTTTTAGGGGAGAAGGCATCTGTACGCGGGCTATGTCCTTTCTGACAACAAAAAAATGTATTTTTTTTCTGTTGTTCACCGTAAAACGCACTGAAAACCCCAGACTGTAAAGATTGTAATCCCCAAGTTCTAAGTTCCACTCCTATTTTTGTGTCTCTCTGAAGCATGGTCACGTGGAAACCCCTTATCTGCAAAAGACTAGAACTTAAGTTCAAAATGGAGGACTTGCGGACTGTAGCTTGCAGCCACTTGCATGGACTTCGTTTGCCAGAAAAGACAATAAAATGCTGGTTTTGACTTTTTTTAGGCGGTAAGTTAGTATTTTAAACGAGTCCAGTGAATATGATACGTAATTTACACATATATCTGATTCTTGTAGACCAGAAGCAAAATTTCGTCATTTGACTTAAGTTATGAAGACTACTCAAAAATTATGATCTTAAGCTTATTACGGATACTTAAGTGAACGGCTAATCTATAATGTTATACTTCGTAGAAACTAGAACCTTAATTACATCGCTCTTTCTGTACAGTAGTAGAAGTTGGCCACCTCATTTACATTTGTCGGAAGGATTTAAAGAACGAGGTATAACACAATAGGCACCCTTGTTATTCAATGATATAAAGCAAAGAAGTGGCCGGGTATTCTGAAGTTTGGCTGATAAATACATGTATATCAAAGTGCGTTTTGGCAATTGGTTTTTCTGTATGTAATATTGGGCTTAAGCTTCAATCTCATGCGCAGGTTTGTGTGAATTGAAGCTGATTTATCCCAAGAGCATAAAACTTTATATTGAAATTGGATAATAAAAGAGGTAATTAAATAATAAGTTAGCTTCACGTGTTATGTGTCAGATAATACTGTAGACCTTGTCATGGTTTTTATCTATTTTGTAGAGTACTGGGAAGGAAGTTTTGGCGCGGTTACTAAACTTCATGCAAATCTCTTAAAATTTTGGTCACGTATGCCATTGTACATTCCATGAGCTATTCATGCCAGAACTAACTTATCTGATAAAGGATTGGGATAATTTTTACCTCACAATTTAATTAAAAAATCTGCCCATCTTCGTCCTGTAAAGCCATTTGATGAAGTCAAAGAAAATGTTGCTAGTATGATGCAACGCATGACCAATATTTTAAGAGGTTTGTGTGAACGGTCAGTGTAAAACTCAGACTGCGGACTATTATTTTCACCATGCAAATGAGAATGAGACAGCAATAGTTCCATTGTTTTCTAACCCTAACAACAATAGTACGCAGTCAGTCCGCAGTCTGCATTTTACACTACCCCTTGTCTGATAGCCCAGAGTGCGCTAATCAGGTCCTCTGATAAATCGCAGAGAAAAAAGTCAAGTTTTGCAGGATTTTCAGGGACAAATTTGCGGAAAATTGGCAGATTTTGCAGGATTTTCGCACAAATTTTTGGGGTAGACTTCTCTAAGAAACAAAAAATAGTAAAAAAATATGGCCCATTTTGAGGATATTTTTTGGGCAAATTTTGCTAAAAATCAATCAGTTTTGCAATAATCTGACCAGCATTTTTAATGTTTTTGTAACAGACAATCATTCTCTCTTTCAACAACAATACACGTACCATCGAGAAATGAACCAATGGCAAAGCTTTTTATGTCATGACTAGTGCCCAGTAGTTTTCACAACATACATCTATTCGGTAATGGGTTCATGATAACCGTCACGAATATAGAGATATTAAGTGACCACTAAGCCCACTATGAGAATGTTGTAGTAGCTGTAGTTGGTGTAGTAGCAGTAGTTAGTGCATTAGTTGTAGTTGGTGTAGTAACTGTAGTTGGTGTAGTAGCTGTAGTTGGTGTAGTTAGTGTAGTTGGTGTAGTAGCTGTAGTTGGTGTAGTAGCNAATTTAATTAAAAAATCTGCCCATCTTCGTCCTGTAAAGCCATTTGATGAAGTCAAAGAAAATGTTGCTAGTATGATGCAACGCATGACCAATATTTTAAGAGGTTTGTGTGAACGGTCAGTGTAAAACTCAGACTGCGGACTATTATTTTCACCATGCAAATGAGAATGAGACAGCAATAGTTCCATTGTTTTCTAACCCTAACAACAATAGTACGCAGTCAGTCCGCAGTCTGCATTTTACACTGCCCCTTGTCTGATAGCCCAGAGTGCGATAATCAGGTCCTCTGATAAATCGCAGAGAAAAAAGTCAAGTTTTGCAGGATTTTCAGGGACAAATTTGCAGAAAATTGGCAGATTTTGCAGGATTTTCGCACAAATTTTTGGAGTAGACTTCTCTAAGAAACAAAAAATAGTAAAAAAATATGGCCGATTTTGAGGATATTTTCTGGGCAAATTTTGCTAAAAATCAATCAGTTTTGCAATAATCTGACCAGCATTTTTAATGTTTTTGTAACAGACAATCATTCTCTCTTTCAACAACAATACATGTACCATCGAGAAATGAACCAGTGGCAAAGCTTTTTATGTCATGACTAGTGCCCAGTAGTTTTCACAACATATATCTATTCTTGGTAGTTTTAGGATGTTGCTTGCTTATTTCTGTGACAAAGTATCAGGGTTATTGTAATTAAACTGCCCCAATAGCTGAGATAAGTTTCAAATATGTTGTACAGACTTGTCTTTGATGTGATTTCTAGCAAATTTCATGGTATTTCATGTGTTTTGCGAATTTTCGCAGGATTTCACAGATTTACCTCAACTTTCGCGGTTGTGCAAAGTTCTTTTTTAGCTAGTTGAAAGACTTGTCGACAAGTTAATGCTTTCTACAGCTTGACTGAATAGCAAGCTGTAAAACCCATTTTCTTTGCACCTTGATAAAAATAATGTGACTCACACACAAAAACATTCCTTACAAATGAACACCCTGCATGCCAACCCATGGCAAGTGAACAGATAAGAAACTGATAGCATAGATAACATGAACAGATGATGAAAATTTTTGAATGGATGAGGTTGAATGGATGAACAGCTGAAGAATAATTTTTAATGACTGGCCGTGATAATGATGCAGAGCATTTCTTGTTTCCATTCCCTTCCATGGCTTCTTATCAGTCCCTTTAAAAAAGGAAAAAGTGGCAGGTGGTTACTTTAATGGATGCCCTTTTTATTACTCACAGGATCTACAGCCAACAGAAGAACAAGTCCATTAACTACATTATATTTGCAAAATCAGATGGAGTTACTGCCAACGATACATGTAGCTAACAAGTAATGCAAACAGTTACATGCACCATTCATGCACACCAGAGCAAAGAGCAAAGTTAAGCCATCAATTCAGTGGAAGTAGGTGAGTAGAGTAGGCTTACCACACCAACTGGCTCTACCATAGACTACACGGATTTATCAGTTAACATAAACAGAGTGTGAAGACCTAGCACTTCTTTTGTTATCATTGAAGATGAGTTTTTGTGGAGTCCTCGTTTTAGAGATGACTCTCACACATGTCTCTTCCTGTGCATTTTAACAGAGAGTCAAGCAGTATTATTATCAATATACGCGGCCAAATAGAAAATCGGCCTCTTCAAAACACACGCTCAGCGGGCCGCAAAAGACTGACAGCGGGCTGCTAATGCATTATCAGCCCTAACTACACCAACTACAACTAATGCACTAACTACTGCTACTACACCAACTACAGCTACTACAACATTCTCATAGTGGGCTTAGTGGTCACTTAATATCTCTATATTCGTGACGGTTATCATGAACCCATTACCATCTATTCTTGGTAGTTTTAGGATGTTGCTTGCTTATTTCTGTGACAAAGTATCAAGGTTATTGCAATTAAACTGCCCCAATAGCTGAGATAAGTTTCAAATATGTTGTACAGACTTGTCTTTGATGTGATTTCTAGCAAATTTCATGGTATTTCATGTGTTTTGTGAATTTTCGCAGGATTTCACATATTTACCTCAACTTTTGCGGTTGTGCAAAGTTCTTTTTTAGCTAGTTGAAAGACTTGTGGACTAGTTAATGCTTTCTACAGCTTGACTGAATAGCAAGCTGTAAAACCAATTTTCTTTGCACCTTGATAAAAATAATGTGACCTCTCACACAAAAACATTCCTTACAAATGAATACCCTGCATGCGAACGCATAGCAAGTGAACAGATAAGAAACTGACAGCATAGATAAGATGAACGGATGATGAAAATTTTTGAATGGATGAGGTTGAACGGATGAACAGCTGAAGAATAATTTTTAATGACTGGCCGTGATAATGATGCAGAGCATTTCTTGTTTCCATTCCCTTCCATGGCTTCTTATCAGTTCCTTTAAAAAAGGAAAAAGTGGCAGGTGGTTACTTTAATGGTTGCCCTTTTTATTACTCACAGGATCTACAGCCAACAGAAGAACAAGTCCATTAACTACATTATATTTGCAAAATCAGATGGAGTTACTGCCGAGGATACATGTAGCTAACAAGCAATGCAAACAGTTACATGCACCATTCATGCACACCAGAGCAAAGAGCAAAGTTAATCCATCAATTCAGTGGAAGTAAGTGAGTACAGTAGGCTTACCACACCAACTAGCTCTACCATAGACTACACTGATTTATCAGTTAACATAAACAGAGTGTGAAGACCTAGCACTTCTTTTGTTATCATTGAAGATGAGTTTTTGTGGAGTCCTCGTTTTAGAGATGACTCTCACACGTCTCTTCCTGTGCGTTTTAACAGAGAGTCAAGCAATATTAATGCCTTCAACTTACAGAAGAACAACTAGTTATATCATCTACACACAGAAATCTATTGGTTTCCTTGCACACACAAAAGAATCAGCTGCTGCCATTCAGAAACGGCAAATAATACATGTAGGTGGTTGTCCTGCACACACACTCAAAAACAAATCATATGAAACAGTTGCTATTGTCACACACAAGCATTTACTAAACAAACAATGGAGAACAAACAGTTGCCATGGATGCAAAGGAGAACAAGCAACTAGTAACCTTTTTCTTTGTTCCTCTATCAAATGTTTTGTAGGTTTGTGCAAACCAAAGATGATTTTTCTCTCAAGATCAACTACCATTTATTACAAAAAGAGGTGAGTAAAATATTATTATTCAGCAAATAGGATTATTTTATTGTACAATGATGCCATTTGACTATGATCAACAGAATCCTTGTGGTTATTTTTGTATGGGTAAATTAGGGATTTTTAATAAGAAAGCAACAAAGAAATGGATTTGTGTTTCGACCTTCAACCCTTCGTACTCTGATTATGTGTGTTTTGACCATATATCAAGTGAAACGTCGCAAAGCACAGCGTTCGAGCAAAAGCGTTTGGACCTCTAATCATTGTCCCTTGCACTCCCTACCCTTTGGCAGGCCCGGATCTAGAATAAATACCGACCGATTTCCTATTCTAGGGAGGACTGGGGGAATGCTTCCCCGGGTAATGTTTTGCATTTTAACCCCCCAAAGTCCCCTTTCCTGGGTTTCTGAGCTATTCAGACAGGATATTTATTGACTCTCCAAACCATTTTCCAGATTTCAACTTGGAAGGTTTAAAGTTTTTACTAAAAATAATATATCTATTATGAAATATCGAACCGATTTCCGTAAAACGGTGGAAACCGGTATGGATCCGCGCCCGTTTGGTTATTACTTAAGTAGCATATCTAATACTTTTAAGAAGCAAGCAGTAGTCAAATTTCTTAAGCAACAGCAACCATTAATGTTTTTGGCCAAAAATATGCTTTTCTTCTGTTTCTGGTATGCAACCACAAATGTGGTGTCACAAAAGTCTCAGTTTTATAACGCTGATTCTGCATATTATACTACATGCTGACAGATAAATGTTGAATTACCAAAAAAACCCAATGGCTGTAAATGATGTGTGCAGGTAGACAAGCAAAATGTCACAGTGATCTGTTGGACATAATTGTGGGGGTGGGGTGATGCATGGTTTCTTAGACAACACACTTTGTTCCTTTCTATGTTTGGTTGAATACTTCACTCAAATGCTCAATCCCCTTTGTTTCAATGTATTCCCCTACATAAAAAATAATATTCTTTTTATAAGGGAACATTTTAAAACAAACTGGATTGAGCATTTGCGTCAGAAATCCAAACAGTTAGGAAAGAGTCAAAATCAAAAACCAGCAGGAATGCAGGTCAAAATTTTGATGTGTCTTTATTGTCTCTTATTTGATAAGTTAACACAACAAACAGGGCTTCCGGAATTATGTGTCTTTTTTTTCAGCAAATTATGTGCCAAAAATCCCGAATTATGCGAATTGCACAATGTTGTGCCATATTTTTAAGCGAAGATTTTAATGTTTCAATTTATTAAGCTTGCAAATCAAGTTAGTCAAAGTAAGTAAGTAAGTTAACAAAGTAAGTAAGTCAACAAAAACAACTTACTGACTGATGCTGCTAAGATTTTTTCAGGGTGAGCGAGGAAAGACACATGTTTATTATTGAAATAAAACATAAAAGTACAAATATGATGAGCAACAACAATTCATTACACCAAACGTATTTCTCGTTCCTTCTTACATGTTGGGTAGCGACACAAAGAAGCAAAAGCTCCATTGACCAGATTGACATGGAATTCAAAAGTGAAATAGGTTCTCATTGTAAAATCTAAAGCTCACTAATATGCATTTATAGACCATCTGTATATATTTGCTTTGACACATAATGTTTCAATGTTCATCTCTTCCTGCTCCTCTTTATATACTGGTAAACCTGTTGTACCTCTTCCAACTGAGGAAATCGGAGTGGACCACTTCCTTGGATTTGAAGTGAACCAAAGATTAGCCAGGAGGGGGAGCAGTCGTCAATGTCATCACATTTGGGCCGGTCAAACACTTTTACCCCGACTGAGTGCAGGAACTTTATTGTCAGAGTAGCATTCTTGTTCCTTAGGACGTAACAAATGTAGAATGCTTCTGATATTCCACTGTATAGTACTCCCCTTCTTGTCTTGGTTGTAACTTATCTTCAACCTTCATCCTGTGAAGCTCAAGTAACATCTGCTTCTGGATGGAAGGGATTCTATCACTGCTTACTGCTGCACCAGACAAACCTGGCAAGCAAGTGCATACATTGACATCGCAATCGTATCCATTCTCCTGCTGTAGTAGCTGGCCATTAGCATTGCTCACAAAACTCCATTCAGTTGTTTCATCATCCAGAGAGGGATCAATTTCCTTTAGCAACTTCCACATCTTTCGCAGTGCAACTTCGTGAGTAGGCTTGACAGAAGATCCTTGAAGGCTGTCCATAATGACTATCTGCACTTTTGCTTGGGCAAAGCCACAAGGAGAAACCAGTGCTTGCTCGTCACTGGGTTACACGGAACAAGGACATACTGTACATGTAATCCTGCATCATGAGGTCAGCTTTAACTCCAAGAAGACCCACAGCAAGCTGACTGCTGATCCCTTTCTCAAAAACTTCCCACTCTATGGTTTCTGCATTACACGTAGCTGTTTCGGCAATAACTTTAAGGGATGAATCAATAACAAAATATTTTATTACTCAAGTAGTATTGTCCTTGTCCTTCTGATGGCCACCATGGAGAGAGCTCAATTAAATCATTACCAACAGTACAGAGGGAACTTCCTCCAAACTTTACTGAACTATCAACCATTGCATTGACTATTGCATTTAGGTGGGCTGGAAATTCATTGGCTTCTGTTTTCTCAAATTTAGCTGAGGTTTTCTTGTCAAGGCCACACTGTATTTGAGGATCATTTGGTGATGGGACCTTAACTGATAAGGGAACTGGCGAGGAAGTCTTAACTTTCATAGGTTTTATGGGGTTCGCACCTTTCTCAGGTATCCCTTTTTGTTCATGGGTGGTATTGAGCTTGTTTGGTGGTCTTGATGATGGATTGGCCTGCCTTGATGACTTCGTAGCTGGTTTGAAAAAACCTGATACCTACAAGGAATGAACAGGGTCATCTGGACTGGCCACTGACTTGTTTGATGTATGCACTGAACTGCCAGAAGACCTAGACAGGAATTTGATAGGCGGGGCTACTAAATTGCTGGACATAGGAACAGAGCCAGTAGAATCTGTAGGAATTGGACTCTTTGGTCTTGGGTCTTTGTTGATGGACTTTGTAAGTGAGTCACAAGGAAGTGGAGTAGTTGGAGTCCATTCGGAGACCACCTACAATACAATATAATAATCTTTATTTACACCCTTAATAAAAAATACTAAACAGACTTCTAATAATAGTTGAAAAATGGAAACGTACAACTGTACCTCTTCTCTAACTGTAGACTTAACTTGTAGATTCCAGTTAAGGAAATGGTATGCGTTGAGGCTACTTGTTGGTGCGAATGACATTCACTTCCCATCGAGAATGTTGTTGTAATTGGAAAAGCAGCACTCCACATCATAAGAACCCAGTGTCTCTGTGTAGTAGATTGAGGCTACTTTGTACAGGTTGGGGAGTTCACTGGTATTCGACTTCCAAAACAGCTTAACATCTACCTTTCCATTTGTGCTTCTTTTCACCGCCACTGGGCCAATGACATGGGCATACAAATCAGTCTCCATATGGGGCACATCTTCAATCCCTGGGATACAGTTGGGTGTAAGGGTCGTATCCAAACTCACAAGATTGCGGGGATCTAGTATTCTGACATCATGTAGGAAAAGTACTGCCAGGTTGTCCCCTGCCCTCATCTGTGTATTTCTCTAGCTTCTGGTGTCGGAGAATGCTAACCTGAAATGGAAATTTAAAACTGATATTTCTTTTTACATCATATGGCTGTTTTAGTCATAGGAATAGGCCTATGGTTGCACAAAAAAGTTTTACAAGTAATTTATCATGATTTTCCTCATTAAAAAATGAAAAGAAACGAGCTGGCAAGCTTTGTTTTCACTGGATATGTGCTATTTACCTGACAGTGTGAGCAACATCAGACTTCTCATTGCTGGTAAATGACATCAATGTGCCTTGGAAGCAGTATTTTCAACTCATCTTCGCTTAATGAAGAATTTGAGTTGAGGATGCAAAAGAGACTCTTCATTTTGTTGTGTGACTGTGTTACATGAGGGATTCTCTGTTGGAAATAATCCATTAGATGCATCAATATTGGGCTGGTGTAAGCAACAACCCTGAGCTTGGCGTACGCGTGTAGCATCTTCATGAGTGTGTCGTCTCCATACATTTTCTCAAGGCGCAACAAAAGGCACTTACAGCATTTTTACCACATCACTGAATCTCTTGGGTGATGAAATCCTCATAGATGTTGAAGTGCTTTGCTTGGTACACAGCTGAGTCAAACTATGCTGACCAGCTCTTCGTTGATGGATTGGGAAGGATAGTAGCTTTGCCTGGATATCACTGGCACAGTCATTCATGTATTTCAGGAAACGACCTTTGTGCCCACAAATTCCTCATGCACTTGGCAAACTCTATGACAAAGCTGACATGTTGCTTAAAATCACCAGCCACTAGACTTATGATGTGGCTGTGGCAGGTAATATGGACACGACTTGAGAAAAAACATGAAAGCATTTCCCTGAAAGCCTTTTTTCTGTAACTAGCGTTGTCAGTATTACAAATCAGGCCACCATCAAAGTCTATTCCATAGTCATTGATAGGCTTTAACAACTGCTTGGGACACAGTCTTGTTATTTGTTTCTGTCACAAAGTGGGTATCTAACCCGTCAGCAATGTTTCTGCCACTGGGAGAAAGCTTGTCGAAGTCCAGAATTGTCGCCATAATGTCTATTACACAATGACCATTGTCATTGCCAAGCTCGTCTACCATTATGGCAACATTGCCTCTTTTATTTTCAACAATTTTGCCTCTTTTATTTTCTGCTTAAGTTTTTCCTTTTCTAACTCATAAACATCTAATAAGTGGTCCTGAAGCTGTGTGCCCTTAGGGATTGCGCCACAATTGACTACACGGGAGAGAAGATCGAAATTCACGCATTGTAGGATTTTCTGATTTGTTTAGCGGTATGTTTGCAGCAGCACACGCCCTTATCCACTCATGGCAGACTTTCACTTTCTATTCATGAGCTGGAGCTTTGCACTTGAATGAAGTCTTCAATGTCTGTTGTTTCGCTTGCTTCAAAGAGGATTCATCCATTTGCTTGATGTGTGAAACAGCTGAAAGGTGCTTGTCAAGAATTGACTTTGGGTGGTGATCCACAACAACATCACAGTTGAACAAAATAAGAGATTGTTATCTGCATGGAACTTCCCGGGATATTGCTTAGCCCTCTCTTGTGGTGTAATGCTACGTGGCTTTTCCATTGGTTTTACTTTTAATACAAACTTATCCATTTTCAAAGTGAAAACACGGGAAAGAAAGTTGTTTTGCTGCCGAATAAATCGAAGCAGGGCGCTTTTTTTCTTTTCCAATCATGGCTCGTGCTATATAAAAAACTGGAGCACAGTCCCCAATGGCCAGCAGAGTAGAACGCCTGAATGCCTTGTTGATTTGCGATATTTGTGAATGCTTTTGCAACAAAACGGTGGCTATTTGTTGCGAAAATGTACTATATTTACAGGAAAAAAATCTCCATGCAACTCTCAAGGTATGAAAAAACATAGCTTGTTAATAGATTTTTCAAAATTTTCAAAAATTATGTGCCATGATGGTTTTTTAATTATGCAAATTATGCGCCCAGAGCCAAATTATGCGATTTCACATCTGCGCTTAATTCCGGAAGCCCTGAACAAAGTAATATGACAGGTAGACACTCTGCTCCTATTTTGTTTTGTGGCAGGGGAGGTGGGGGGTGGAGGGAAGACAGCCTCAAGAAAAAAAAATGTGACTTGCAAAAAAAGCCAAGTTTAATACATCTTATTTAATTACATCTTGAATTTTAAGATGTAATTGAATAAGATGTATTAAACCTACTCTACTGTTTCCTTCAGTTAAACACAATGTTCTCAACTATGTGGGACGTTTCTGTTTTCATTATTACATGTACATGTATAATAATGTCATTGTAACTGCAGTTATTTCCTTCATCAGATGATGTCAAGCAAGCTCAGGAGAAGACCGTGATGGGTTGGACTAGAAAACGGTAAGCTATAAAATTCTTGTGCTGGGTTTGTGTCTTGCATACACTGTGTATACTTTAGTTTAAGGAAAATTCATAATTCCAAGTCACTATGAGTATTTATGGTTGTGTTCATGATCTATCTAAGATGCTACTACTTAAATGTCCAATAATGATATTCTCACCATTTTTATACCATACATGTAGCTCCATTGTTCACTTTCAAAAGTGCCAGTTGTAAAGATGGTTTTAGTGAATCTCATTACTTTTGCAATGAGTAGCCTGTGTTGCAGCCAGCCCATGCATGGTCTATACCATTAGTATAGTCTGTCTGCAAGTTAGTGCCACAAAGCTCATTCTGATATTCAGCATAATTGCTCAGATACAATGTACAGTATATGTGAGCATTTCTTAATATTGGCAGTTTTCATATGGTTTTTTTTATGCACCTCACGATTGGTCCAATTCTTACTTGCGCATGACAGTTGGAAGTTGGCAAAGAGCATTTACAGTAAACAATGACTGAGCAGTTTGAACTTGAAAGCCTTCTTCCTGAACAAAAAAATATTTTGAGGGAATTCCTTCAAGGGCAGAATGTGTTTGTAAATTTTCTGACTGGTTTTCCAGTGTCTTCTAAACACAAGAGATGCACTGCTGTGTATTCTGAAATTGCGGCGACACACACTAGTGCCAATACAAAATTAATCAGGAAATCATGATACATCTGTAACATTCTCGGAGAAAAAACACTACTGACATGAAGTATTCATGTTCCTGAAGGCATTTCAGAGAAAACCAAGCTGAAACTAAGGTTACATGTATTTATCTGCAATAAAAGCTTTCAAGGCCTTAACAGAGATAAAAGAACACCATTAAATTAATTCATCTGTGATCATATCCTGTCAGAAAAACCTACAGAAACATAAACCTTACAAACTGATTACTCAATAATATGTATGGAATAGACCGGCTTCATACCTCTAAAGTTGAGACTCAGATTAACCATCAGTCAAAGTTCAGAATACTCCATGCACTGCCTTATCTACAGTAAAGAGAAAGCAAGGGAGAGCTCCTTAATCTTTCTTGTCATGAGCTATGAGTTGTGTTTGGCCTGTCAACACATTATCCTAATTCGGGTTAATCACAAACTGCATAAAAAACCAGCCAATCAAAAATGGCAACATATGTCCTTGCGACCAAAACACAGATGTGCTTTAAAGAATTTTTAGAGTCTCTGTGATACAGGCTAGTGATGAGCATGCAACCTCTAGAGCATTCCACTATTGAAGAGTTTTAGCTTCTGGTCAAAAACTGTTAAGATTTCACTTTGAGATTAAAAAGATAGCCTTTAATTAAAACCTAATAATTGATATTATTCTCATAAATATAATACAGAGTAGCTTTTAATGAGTAACATAATTCCTGTCAAAAACATTTGATAAAACGTTATTTTTTTTCTTGGTTTAGGTGTCATTAGGTGTCCTGGAGTGGTGGTCGTAGAGAGGATGGGATGTCTTCTTATAAAAATAATGGGGTGAGTTATTTTGTTATTATTTCAAAGTTACATCTTTGGGATAATATTTTTCTGACTAAAGAGAACAATACCAAGCTTGTGCATAAATTTTCATTAAAAGATCAGATAAATTCAACAAACAACAAGATTTTTGTTAACAAAAGATTAAGATTTACATTATTGAATGCCCTACAAATACTGTAGCTAATTATTAAACTAATCTTAAGGTGATGTCAATTTATAAATGTACTTGTTACAATACCAAAAAATAATGCAATAACTA